AAAGAGTAATTGGCTAACAACCTAGAAGAAGCTCCATAATGTACCCGGCATCCTCTGATGTCTCCTTCCAAATATTGTTAATGTAATACCACTATTTAATATCTCACCGTGTGATTCAACCTTTCCGCGATAAGTACTCAGAGGTACATATATCTCGGTTTCAGTTAAATATGAACCAATGTTAGTCCATGCACGTTGTGAATAATCTATTAAAATAAACAACAATATATGACCTGAAAAATTCTTCGAGTCTCTAATGACAACATATGTTTGCGCTGATGAAAGAATACGATGAATAGATGACACGGTGTGTAGGTATGCGGTCCGAATATATGATAAAATTGGGTGATTCACATAAGCTAGAATGAACTGTACACACATTAGGTGTTAGTATTGGGGCACTACTCTGATCTCACGGTGCAGCTACGACGCACCGCAGAATGTTGGACAAAGTTGGCCGAAATAAGTCCCAAAAACCATGCAAGCCAAATGGTTTTACGTCTTCCATTTGCTCAGTGCACCTAAAGCTTACGCTAGCTACGAAACAACAATTATATAAATTTGTGAATGTGAAGCATTGCGGATAATAAATTAACCTCAGTGAGACTGAAAAACAGTGTATTATTTTCTTCTTCTATCTGCAATCACTTCGTTATTGACACCTGGATAACTGAATGCCGTACCAATATTTTGTTTGAAATAATTCTGTTCCACAGTCTGTTGTATGCTTATTATTATTTATTATATTATTGTTCCCTTGGGTTCCTAGTGGAACATAGGGCTTCATCTGCACACCTCCACTTGCTTCTGTCTTCTGCTGTGCTTTTCACTTGCATCCATGTTAGTTTATACTGTTTCAGCTCCTCTTCACATGATCTCCTCCATGTCACCCTTGGACGTCCCACTCGCCGCTTCCTTTTCAGGTTCCACTCGAGGGCCTGACGCGCGATGTCACCCAGCGGCCTCCTCAGTGAGTGTCCAATCCACCTCCACTTTCTCCTGCCTATTTTTTGAGCGATTGGTTCTTGTTTTGTTTGTTCCCATAGTCTCTTGTTGGTGATTCTTTCCGGCCATCTGATCTTGAGTATAGAACGAAGACAGCTGTTGATAAAGGTCTGCAACCTGTTGAAAATATTCTTTGTGACTCGCCGAGTTTCTGAACCGTAAAGAAGAACTGACTGACTTGACGTTTGTGTTGAAAATCCAAATCATTTTGTTGTTGATGCAGGCTGAGTGACGAAGATTTCCAGATTGGTTTCAGGTTGATGAATGTGTTTCTCGCCTTCCCGATTCTCGATTTGACATCCTCGTCCGTTCCTCCTGTAGTGTAGTTGAGACAATGCTCCCTAGATAAGTGAATGAAGTAACCTCTTTCAAATCCCCTCCGTTGATGGTGATTGGCGCTGGATGTTGCTGCTGCTGCTGCTGTCGTTGTTGTTGGTTGGTTATTTTCATAACCTCCGTCTTGTCTATGTTCACCTGGAGTCCTGTCTTTGCTGCTTCTTCGACCAGTTTGTCGGTTTTCGCTTGTAAGTCTTTGATTTTGTGTGACATCAAACATAAATCATCCACGTGCGAAATCCAGATCTTCTAGGTTCTTCACGTCGGTTCAGGATATCCCTGTCTTCTCGTTTCCCACTGTCTGACGCATAATCCAGTCCACCACAATTAGGAATATCATTGGTGATAATAAGCACCCTTGTCTGACTCCTGTGTTTACTCCAAACGCCTCGCTGAGTTTTCCGTTGTGGATCACTTGACATGTGCCGTTGTCGTACAGCTGTTGAATAAGGTTGATGAATATTTGGGGTACGCCATAGTACTTGAGTAGTTTCCAGATTACTTCGCAGTCAACGCTGTCGAAGGCCTTCTCAAAGTCTATAAAGTTGAGGTAGAGGTTTGATTACCATTCCATGCTTTGTTCGATGATGATGTGTAGAGTTGCAATTTGGTCAGAACATGATTTGCCTCTCCTGAATCCAGCTTGTTCTTGTCGGAGTTCTGTATCCAGTGCGTCCTTAATCCTCTCCTCGACCTTGTGTCCAGTGGGCTCCGTCTCCAATTCCTTGAGATTGAAGTGAAGTCTATCTGGATTTTGGTGTGTCCATCTGGTGAAATCCATGTCGCATTGTGTATATCCCTGTGTTTGAACACACTGCCACCAATCACCAAATAATTGAAGGCACAGAAGTCTGAGAAGAGTTCACCATTGTCGTTCATTTCACCAAGGGCCTCGCGACCCATGGTGAGTTCTCTTCATGTATTGTCTCCTCCCAGCTTCGCATTCATATCACCCATCAGGATTTTGATATCGCTCTTTGGGACATTGTCCATTACTGCTTGTAGTTGTCTGTATAAGGCCTCTTTCTTCTCTTGTTCTGAGAGGTTTGTAGGCGCATAGCATTTAATGATTGTAACCTTCCTTCCTTTTGAGTTGAACCTGGCTGTCATTATCCTGGAGAAGATTGGTTCTCACTGCATGAGAGCTTTGGCTGCTGTTGGTGACATCATGATGGCCACTCCCTCGCTGTGCTCGTGATTGCCCTCTGGGTGACCGGAGTCGATTATTGTCTCTCCAGTTGGTAGTTGGCTCCTTCCACATCCCTTCCATCTGCTCTCGCAGATTCGCAACACTTCAATTTTATATCTTCTAATTTCTGCGGCTACCTGGACAGCCTTTCCAGCTTCGTACATTGTACGAACATTCCACGTCTCCATCCTTGTTTTTGCTTTCATCGAAAGAAGGCACATCGGCCGAATGGCTTTCCAAAGGCTTTTACCAGCCTGCGTCAATTCACTTCTCCGATTCCAGCGAAAAATAAGGTTATTGTTTATGGTTTTAGAATTTTTAATATATTTGTGCGTCGAAGTTTCTCTAGCAATTTGAAAAAAGTTTTGGGGATGGAGTTGATAGCCACACGTCCCAACACTTCCTCTTTATCCGGGCTTGGGACCGGCTAGAAAACTAGTGAGCTATTAATCTAGGCGAGGTTATGTATGATTATTATGCACTTGATATTGGGTTCATGTATGAATCCAATTCCCATATGGAATATTATCAGATTAAGTAAACTAACCCATATTCTCAGGTGGCAAGTGCGTGGATTAGGACCATACCATTGTAAAACTTCTCACTACTGATAGGAATTTGACAAATAGTCATGTAGCCGAATAAAGGAAAATAGAAGAAAAAATGCTTGATAACAGAAATGGAAAAGTTAATGAAATTAAATTACGACTCATTATTATGATGATTTGTTTGTGAATACTCTGGGGCTAGTTAGTAATCACACCACAATCCCCATTTCACATGTAGTTTCACGAAATTGTCAGCGCATAGTCCCGTAGATTGAATTCTCCTAACTGTGTTTAATAAACTTCGTTCATGCATCTATCATCCGGAGATACTTCGCTAACAAAACTCTGATTTTGTCTACACAAACACACCATTCAAATACTATCATCTGAACTCCTACATGCTTTTGCTGCAAACCAAGCAGACGTTTTGTTTGAACACCGGAGCGGATGTCAACAAGACTTCAGACTTTGCAACAATTAGAAATTAGGCAGTAGGTCAGACTATAATGTCGATAGTCATATGCATATATATATATATATATATGTATGTATATGATCGGCAGTACGATCCTATGGATAGTCTCAAATAACAAATCCTGCAAATTTATTTGTTTCCACTTTACAAAGTTCGCTTCTTTCTATCCATACAATAAATTGTAGAGATTGGCAGTTACATCGCTTATACTCTAGGTACGGAATTCAGCTACTACAACTTAATTTTACATCTTATTTTGCCTAATACTGGTAAAACTTTGTTTTGCAATAACACGCATTCGTATTTCCACCACTTTTCGAAAGCTGAAGCTGGCCTAAACGACAACCGTGAAAAGTTGCATTCAGGTCTGTAGAGAGAAAAGTATTAGAAACTCATCAAGGATATCTGTTCAGCGATTTCATCCACGAAATCTGTATATTAGTATTTATATACATGAAAAACAGTAGGTATAAGATAAATGCATACTACATATAAATGCATATATTCATGTACATAAATGCCCCTGTGAAGATTTTCAAGATGAAATCGCTGAAGCGATATCTTCGCAGAGCTATTTCCTCCTTCGACCTTAATAAACCACAGTAGAATACCTGGGCGTATTATATTACTTTGCAATAACTTGAGTGGACAACCTCTGACTCTACTGCAGAACTCCAAACATATACATGGGATCAAGTCGGTCTCTGAAAACATTAGACTGTCTTGATTATACAAGAATTAGGGAAGCATATAAAAGATGTAATTTTTGTCTTGTAAATTTGATAGTTTTGTTATTCACACCGTACAGATCAGAGACTTCTTCGATTTCTCCCTGATTGCAGTTATTCAGTACTTATTTGAGAGGCAACGGTGGCACTTGGTATTCAGTCGATTTGAACATGTTATTACACTCTCACTCCACCCACACCAGACATAAAACATGCCAACGAACTCAAATCCCGAGATTCTCATCAGCATTTACAATAGAATATCTGCCCACTGTGTGTATGCAGCAGAATACACAACAGTGTATGCACTATAAAAAGTAGTCTTTGCCACAACTGAGGATTGTTGAAGTCATCGTCTGAAATACTGAAGATACTGTCCCATTGCAAATATAACAAATCCTTTCTAAATCTAACGTTAAATTATCCACAACACAAATTAATATAATCGATTACTCGTCACAGTGATCCAGTAACAACACAAACATGAGAATAAACACGAATTTAGTCGACGTCATTATTTACCACTTCTCAAATGTATATCTTGCTTTCATAATGTTTTCAAAATTCTACAGTGCTTAGTATGAAGAGTTTTATTGCTGATTCAAGATTCTAAGTAAATATTTGTGTGTAGGACTTTGGACCAAAGTTCAAAGAGTGAGATGGATATATTTGAGCATGAGTGAGTATGGTTTTCATATGTGGTGCATGTAACCACCATTGTTAGATTGTATTTTATTCACATGTAAGTTGTCCACTTCTCATGGTTTGCAGTTAGTATAATTTCATTGTCACCTATGGAAATCCCGAAGGTGTTATTATTCGCGAGCCGTCTTAAAGTCAACAACTATGCATTATTTCACTATTTCCGTATGCATCTGAATATCTCGTGGCGTTTAATATCCATGAATGAAGACACACGGAAATGGTCAGATTGAATTATTTATATAACATTATTGTAATATAAACATTGCGTACAAGTCTTAATTCGCTTATATATGCATGTAGAATAACCCATTACTTGCGAAACAAGTAGAGGATTTTGTTGAAAGGGAGCCTTTTCACTTTAAGCATGTTCAGCCATTGCTGTTGCAACAAAGTTTATACAGACAAAGCAATATAAGATGTAGTTTGTCTGAATCGTGCAATTTATTTGCGCAACACATTTCTAACAATCTGATCACACACAGACTTTTCATAGGAATATATATTCCTATACCTATCGCGCAAATACATTACGCGGTTCAGACAAATTACGTCTTCTTACTGCTTTGTCTAAATTCATAAAAGGAACTAACTGTTTTAAACAAGATTGGTTGTTTTCAGTTCACGTTCCACCTGTCGAACATTTGAAATATAAGACAAAATCTGATGATTTCATTCTTGAAATAATCTAACCAGTGACACCGTGACATTCTCAAAAATCAAGCACTATTTACTGCATTAATCTGCTTCACTGAAAAAAAAACATAATCTGACGATGAATTTAACTGCTCGAATTTGACGTTATATGTTATTGCAAATGATGAGGTGTTTCCAGGTAAAGCATAAGAATTACTGTTTCACTAAACACTTGTAGTGAATTTCTTATTTTGTAGATCATCGAAATATTTCCGATGGATTGGTGGTACGTTATAGCAATTATTTGCATGTGAGTCCCATATTCTCTTATATTTAAGACAAATAAACCACTTATGCAACTTGATTATAAATGTATCAGTTTTGAGTAGTGATTAAAAGGTAGTTCAACTAGAAGTAAAACAACCAGTTCATCTAAGGCATGGAATAATGTGATTGCTAGCCATAATTACTGTCCAATATACAATGAATGGAATAATTCTGTTTTGAGGAGGCAAAAATTGGAGGAAGAAATACTTGATTTCCATTTAGATCCCCATCTATATATATGTATATAAATTTTAATACAATACACAAAATTACAAGTCCGGAGGTGATAAATATGCCAACACTACTGAGTCAGTATCATGTCAACCGGGTGATAATTAACCAAGAGAATTAATACAACAATTAAAGGGCAGAAATAAATGCAAAAATAATAATTTTGGAAGAACATGGAGCAATTAAGAAACGAGGTGAATTAGAATTTAAACAATCCAACCGTCATGCTGGGAATAATCCTGATATACAAGGATAAACCAACGCAGATTTATCCATACACTAATAAGTTTCGACCATTAAAATTCACTGTGCAATTTCATGTTTGTATTTCAGAGCAACTGTTTCGGTCCTCAGTTTAACACTGTTCTTCAAATACAGGAGAAACTGGAAAATTGCGCGTATCTTCCTGGCATTATTGGTAAGTTATTCAGAGACTCAAAAGGATCAGTTGGAGTTCTTTACTAATAAATATTTCGCGATTATTGTGCAGTTTATTACAAAATTGGAAAAGTAATTCACTCAGATAATGAAGCAAGTTGAAATGAACCACTTTTATCCGACCTCATTCGTAGTCCGTGTGGCTTTTATTAACAGAATACGGTTCTGTTACTTAATAAATGTAGAGTTTAAACAGTGGTTGACTTCAGAATCAGTTAATGCACTAAACTCCTGTCTAATCGAATTCGGTGGGCATAATTTAAAGGAAGACACTTTTCCTAACTACACGCCACATCCTCAAGTGGTTAATGACCAGTTACAAAAATCTACTGATCGTATCTGACACATCAGCACATGGTAATGCTGGTCCGAATCTAGCCAACAGCTACATGACTAGAACTACAAAGCAAATCTCGTAAAAACCGCTGAGGTAGCAGTGATTCTTTTGAAATTTGATGCATAAAGCCCAAAACATAGAGCCACACAGTCACACAATTTGGTCCAAAAGTATTGTAATAACAATTATTGGTTTTCCAGCCGGTTTCGATTTGAAGGGTCATATCAGTAGTATTAAAATGAAGTAACAGAGAGTAAACAGCGTGTTGCCGATTCTGATGTAACTCCCACTAGAATTAAGATGATATACAAACTGTATGTGGACAATTCAGTTTATTCCATTTATATATATTTGTTTAACTGATTTTACCAACAGCTTTTACCATGGTCGGCAGGTGTCTGCTTGGCAGTTTGTAAAGACACTGGATTAAAGTGTGCTATTTTAATCAACTTCACTATTTTGGAAGATGTATTAACAATTATTTTCCTTTACATGACGAAAAGATTGAAAGTACACGTAGCGATTGCATTATCAGTCTTATCGATAATTTGTCCTGTTATTGCTAGTTTTAATTTTTGTAGACTGTATGCAGGTGAGTGGACTGAAATTTCAAACGTATTGTTGTCTACCGACGTTTATTTCTGTGATCACCTGAAATGCAAGAATAATTTCATAATTCTCTTAGAATATCAAACTTAAATCTTCATATTACAGTGGATGACGGAAACAAAACAACTCCTCACAGTATATAATTCTTGTTCAATCTGTGATATTTTAATAAATAAATTATTGTGAGAGCCCATATTATTAGAGGTGTTAAAGTTTAATAGACACATTGATTTCAGCTGTGATCTTCCATTTAGAAGACAGATCAATAAACGACTTTTGTTAAAGAAAGCTAAATTTGTGAATCGTCGGAATCTTGAAGTCTGCAACATCCTCTATTTGATGCCATTTTGGCTTAATTACCGGGATTTTACGTCTAAAATTCGTCGCAAGATCGACTTATAATTGTATACAACATAGTGGAGGTAAAGATTGATAAGTGAAGTTTTATCTATCGAGACAAATGAGAAAACAAGTATGAGGAATGATTCAACATCAATCTGCAACGCCTAGAAATTCTACTACACATTAGGTGTATGGGGAAAAAGACTAGAACTGTAAGATTCAGAAACATTATTTTGTTTGTGACAAATATGTGAAGCGTTATTCAGTTTTTTAGATTGCGAAGGAAATAGCAAACTGTGAGATTGGAATCAGTCGACAACCAATCAAGTAGTGGAAAATGCCCATCAGCACACTAAGGAGACAAGAACTAGAAGTTCAGCGAAGATATCTTCTCGAAGATTTCATACCCAAAAGCTGCAAAATCGCATCTATTTACATAAGTTTACATTGATACAATTATTATTTAGTTCTACACAATAACGGAGATTTAATCTGATAATAATTTCCAACTTGATATGAAAGTCCAAAGGTGTGAATATAGATTACAAGGGGCTTAAAAACAAAATTACACACGATTAGAAAATAGTTACGTTATATGTAAAACATATTTCTAACGAATACAGGTGAAAACGGGATGAGAACCCAAACGAATTGACATATTAGTTTTTATGACTGAAATGAACAAAAATTTGAGAGGAATGAAAAAATGAGAAATGAGAACTAAGCAGTAGAACTGGAAACTAAATGCAATTACATAGATTTTCAGGATGAAATCCCCGAAAGTATATTTTCGCTGAACTTCGTCTTCTTCTCTGTTTAATGACAACCAATCACTCACATACTGTTTATAAATGAAATATACGACACAACGTTTTGTGCAGAGGTAGGGAAATTATTTGGAATAATTCTGTCAAATCTACACAATACGTAAATCATACGGTATACAGAAATCCTAATTTTATTCCTTTCCTCAGTATCTCTACGAAGACATGGACACAACACAATTAGGAATCAGTTGCAATCCTCAAATGTATTGAATTATATATCAAGCAACAACTCACCACTTCCCACTAGTTTAGTCTACTTTCGGGAAATTAATCTGAAGCTGTTTTCATTTAGACCGGAACAGTTTAACTTATCCTAGATATAAGAATAAAAACTTGTGCACTGTGGTAGAGCATAATTCCATTTTAATGGAGACATCCATCCTCACACTTGGCTGAATTGACCTCACTAGTCACGACTCCTGTAGCAAGTCACAACTGAGGATCAGATTAATTTTCTATACTTGGTTTGTAAAATCTAGATAATCCTTACAAACCAGCTATAGAAAATTTAACTCCTGTTCTGAAAAGACAATTTTTCCAGCTTATATTTTCTATAAGGTGTAAATTTCACTGTTTAATAATAGCGAGAAGAAATATGCATGACGAATCATAAAATTCGTCTCGAATATTTATTAGATTCAATATTTGTTTTTCAGTATCTTTGCGAACTGTTGGCAGTTGGCTTCTTCAACACTTCTGTGTGTTTGGTAAGTTCAGACTAATTTCTTTCTCTGAATTCCTGGGAGTAATATCAGATTGACAACATTCGTGCTAATTTTCAAATCATATTTCATATTATAAACATAATTTTTTTGTTCGATAAAGTATAAAATCACTTGTTATGGCTGTAATTCTGAACATTCATGGTGTCATTTCTTTTCTCAGCTTGTAGTGCTTCTCGCAAACTGGCTCAAATGAGTTCGATGCGAATTGTCTATGCGACATCGTGTATCACAAACTTGCTTGAGTAATTTGTGATTTCTGATAACATATAGATTATTTTGTGAAAGTTAACGGTAAAATATATAACAATTTACATCTCGAATTTTTAATCTTTGTTAGTAATAGAATTATTACTATTATTATAACTAAATGCATTATTTGCATGCACAATCTTCCCTTCCCATTAACAAGTGATTATGATCGGTGTATATTTAAAAATTATTTGTAAAGTTATTTACATTTGAGTTTAACTTGATTAGATCTAATTAAAAACAATATTGTGCACTTAAATGTCTTCTTCTAAATTTTACGATATAAATACTAGTTATTGTGAAATTTTAAGTAAAAAATATTTATGCAATGGAACTTCCAATTTTAATTGTCCAGAACACGTTCTACAGAAGAAAAAATTATTTTACCGATCCCTTGTTGGATGAATATAACTGTTTCATGAATACTTATGGTCTGGAAATATCAGATTATACAGTCTTGTAATCGTGTACTGAAGTT